CTCACACAGTGAAAATTATTCTTGACCGCATTTACAATGAGAAATTGCTTGACACCACTGTGAAAAAAACACACTTTGAAAAAACTAATTTTGGATTGTTGAAATAAAACTGCCTTTTCTTTTTGACGGACAAATTTATGTTCAAAATGATGGTGTTTCTATGGGGTCATCATTAAAGGCCGGTTCTAGCCAATATTATTTTGACAGAGATTGAATGTTTAATAGTTTCGGAATTAATTGACAATGGTACCATAAAGTTTCATGAACGTTGTGTGGATGATACACTTGTTTTAATTAAACCTTCCAACATTCCGGCCATTTTAGCAAAGTTTAACAGTTTCGATCCTAATCTAAAATTTTGACAAATTTTCTGATGTAATTAATTTCTTAGACATCAAAATCTCGGTTGACGGCATTGATATATACCGCAAAGATACTCACACTGGCCACTACACACATTTTTCGAGTTTTGAAACCTTTCTCGCATAAAATTGCCTGGGTCAAATCACTTTTCCATCGCGCTTACATGATTTATAGCACTTAGGAATTATTTGATAAACAAGTTAAAACGATCAAATCCTTTATGTCTTGGAATGGCTATCCCAACAATCTTCGAAACATTTTGATTTAAAAGCTTAAACTCAAATATGACAACTATTCTACGCTTAATATTGATTCGCAAATTGAAGACAATGTATCTAAAGTTTGGATTCTAGACTGCCTTATATCAGAAATCGCGGTGACAGAATCATCAAATCTTGCACTTCTAAAATACAGAGATTTCTTTCTAAGCCGGTCAAATTTATTGTAATTTATGACACTAAGAAAATTTTGTATTTTGTTTCTAATAAGGATAAACTTCCAATTTTATCTCGCAGTAATCTTGTTTATGAGGTTTCATGTCCAGGTTGCGGTCAAACCTATATCGGTATGACTAAGAGAGGTTTATCTGTGCGTTTAAAAGAACATGCAACAAGGCTTTCAACAGGTGCAGTATGCAAACGTTTCACAGAGTGTGAACAAGCACAATACCTAGTCAACTTACAGGACCAATATACTAAACTCAACGACCTCACACTTCCTACTAAAGACAATCCTACTCCTATTGTAAATTTGGTTTTCAGTAACTTCAGAGTTCTGCACATTACTAAATCGAACAGTTACGATATTCTTGCCTTCCTTGAAGCTTTGCGTATTAAACACAAACACACACAACTTAACACAGGACTAAAAGCGAGCAAAGAACTTCAACTACGTACATACCGGTAACTTTTGTTGCTATCTTTGTCTATCCTCTTTCTCCACTCCATTATCCAATTCAAATGCAAGTTGTAAAACTTGAAATCAACTTATTGTTTATTATTATATTTCTGATTTGCCACGCTACTACAACTTAGTAGATATAAATTAATTATTTACATGCATAAGTAGGCGGCGAGGAGGCATCCGGAAACCTTAAGGCTTGTAGATTGGATGTCTCCTCGCGGGACCGTGTTAAGATAAGTGATTATTAGATTAGGAAATAATGTATTAAATATTTAAGTGATGGCGAAGAGATATCATTGTTATAATTGTTATTGTTTTAAAACAAGATTAAAATAGAATTAACTTTCTAATAAGAAATTAAGCATTCTACTCCTGAAGTAACTCAGTCTCTGTTTTTAAAATATCATTTGGCAGGGAATTCCAGATTTTGGGACCTTGAAAAAGAATTGTAAACTGCTTAGTATTTGTTTTACATAGATGGGATCGATATGAGTTTGAACTTGTAGTATTGTAGCTGTGTACTTGGTGACTGGTAATGAATAAGTTGTGAAAAGATGGGGAAGTAAACGGTGGTGATAGGAAAACATAAACTTGGCGACATGAAATGCATTCATTTTACAAAATGATATCAAGAATTTTTAACTGAGTAAACAATGGTGCAGTATGCGCACGATAATCCGAATTTGTCAATGCTCGAACAATTCATTTTTGTAACAAGTATATCCGTTTTAGGTTAGTTTTATAATTGGATGACCAAACTATATTACAATAGGTGAGGTATGGATAAACTAAAGTATAATATAAGGATAATTTGGTTTTGGTAGATAAATAATAGCGACATCTAAAGATTATGCCGGTGGATTTTGAAATCTTTTTACAAATATAAGATATATGTAATTTCCAGGAAAGGTTTTCATCAATAACAACTCCTAAAAATTTAATACTTTGTTTTTGTACTAGCTGGGTTTTATCAAATATAATAGATATATTCTTATAAATTTTTTTGTTTTTGCCTTTGAATAAGATATAATTCGTTTTGTTGGTGTTTACCGATAGCTTCATCCATAAGTCAATATATTCTAATTCTTCATTTATAACTCTAGTTAATTCATCTGGATCATTGTAAGAGTAAGAAATACTGGTATCATCTGCGAATAATAAAGATTCGGTTAAATGCAAAATACCCGCGAGGTCATTTATATAAAGGATAAAGAAAGGTGGTCCCAATATCGAGCTTGAGGTACGCCACATCTGATTTCTTTTTCGACGGAGAAAACATCATTATATTGCACAAACTGGGTACGATTGTTAAAATAACTTTTTATCCATTCCAACGCTACCCCGCGGATGCCATACATAGCGCTCAAGTTTATGGTATAATATATCATGATTAATAAAAACACCAGCTGTAATCTCCCTATGGTCAATAGAGGATGAAATTTTATTTATTAAATGAATTACTGCAAGATTTGTTGAATGATTTTTACGGAAGCCAAACCGATTATAACACAAAATTTCAAATCGTTCTGCAAATTCAAGTAATCGAGAATGCATAACTCTTTCATAAAATTTGGAAAAATTTGTTAGGAGTGAAATGGGTCTGTAATTTTTAAATAATTGTGGATCATCTGCTTTAAAAATAGGGATTATTTTGGCCATTTTTAATTTACCCCTGTCTCTAACGATATGTTAATCAAATGCATTAAAGGATCAATGATGAATTCAAAAGAATTTTTGATAAGATGCATGGGAATATTATCATAACCTGGGGCTTTCCCGGTCTTGAATGACATGCAAATTTGTCTTAGTTCAGTCAAGGAAGTTGGTTTAAGGAATATTGTTTCACTGTTGGCGGGTCCTAAATAGTCTCTAAAAGATGAGGTTACAGCCGGGATTTTATTTGCTAAAGATGGGCCTATGTTTGAAAAGAACTTACAAAACCCATTGGCGATTTCAGTAGGGTCCGTAACTAATCGATCGCCAACTTGAAATGTAGACAGTAAGCATTGTTTCTGTTTTTCTTGTTGGTGACTTCATTTATTAGTTTCCAGGTTTCTTTCAGATTGTCTTTGGCCAGTTGAAATTTATCGTCATAATACATTTTCTTTGCAATTCTGATCAGATGATTTAGTTTGGTTTTATTGGTTTTATATTGGGTTTCACGTATCAAAGTTGGATGTTTTAACAGCTTCTTATATAATCTATTTTTTTTCCTGACTGAAGCTAATTAACCTGTAGTTATCCACAGAGATTTTTTTTTTTTTTTGGGTTGTTGTGTTTTATTGTTTTAAGAGGAAAAGCAGTCTTCAAAATGTCTACTATATTTGGAGACAAAAATTTCAAACATTTCGCTAGGGTCCTGGTCAGTAAGAATACTTGACCAGTTAACTTGCGAAAGGCAAGATTGAAAATTGTTAAAATTTGTATCGTTATAATCACGCGTATTTGTTTTTAAAGTCTTAGTATACGGAAGTTTTTCGTTAAAAGATGCAAAAATTGGTAGGCGATCAGAGATATCATTAATGATAATCCCATTTGTAATATTCTGTGTGAGACAATTTGTGAATATATTATCGATAAGTGTGGCAGTGTGTGTGCAGTTAAGCGTGTGGGTCTAGTAATAATTGGAATGAACATGTAGGAAAACAAGGAATCTATGAATTCCTGAGTGACCGCGTGTTCCTCATAACATAGCAAGTCAAGGTTGAAATCACCCATCAGATAACAGTTCTTATTAACCTTAGAAATTGTTGAGAGAATTCTATTTAATTCATCCATAAAGGGATTAAGATTTTGATTAGGTGGTCGGTAGACTGTACCGACTATGGTGTTTTTCCCAAGGGGGTTACAAATTTCAACAAACAGAGATTCGATTACTTCAGGATTAGATATTGTGCAGTCTTGAAGTACTTTGTATTGAAAAATATTTCGTAAGTAAATACCGACTCCACCGCCAGTTTTATGTTTACGATGGTTGGAGATAAAATGATAACCAGGAATATTTACAGCATCAGATGTTTGATCATTTAACCAAGTTTCAGTAACCCCAATAAGTGAGAATGTATTGTTCAAGTTTGCTATTAAAGATTGAAATTTATCAAAATTGCCAACTAAACTACGGCTATTTAGGTGCAATAAAGAAAAACTGGAATCATATTGCTTCGTACTATCTAGGTTATTTACCTCATCTTCAACCATATAGTTACTTTTGGGCAATGAGTATTCAAAGAAATTTAAATCTGGATCAAGACTAGAGGATGGTTGAATTTTGAAGTTATTTGTTCGATAGGGTTGAATACTAAAGTTTCTAGGCGATAATAATCATAATTTAAAGCACCGTGCGACATCTCGTGCAAAGCAGCAGAGAAAAGAGTGTCATCTAGATGATTAAAGGGGAAAACTAACCCCATATCTATACTATCAGATGTCATTTAATTCATAATAGAGATCACTTAGCTCGTGTTCCAGTAGATTCTTCTTTCTATAATGCAAGTAAATCTTGTAGACTGTTCAGTTTATTTCATCCTCCTCAGACTTGCGTAAGCAGATCGTTTTCTTGTTTCTCACCCAGCAGTACTGGAAATGATTTACCCTTTGATATTTCTTATTCTCATACAACAGTTCTTGTATGTGTGGACTGAGATGATCGTAGATGTTGACGTTGTTAAGTTGCGAATTTGGGGGAAGTCCAAGTTGGTTTGGGCATAGGTTGTTTACTCCCCTTCTTGCCGACATTACTTTTTCCTTGCCAGGCGGCGAACGAACTTGCAGTTTATTGCGTTAGGACGGTCTGTAGATCTTCTCGCTGGTATGCGATGTGCTATATCGATATCTTGAAGGATCACATCATCAGCACCAATAGCTTTAAACAAATTAAGACATAAATTTTCCGTCTGCTCCGCCGTTTCAGTTGCTTGCTCCTGCGGTATGCCAACAATTTTTAAATTATACTGATAACTGTAATCTTCCAGCTGGTCAACGGCTTTTGCAATTTTTTCACATTTTGTGGATATGATTTCAACTTGCGATTTTATATATTTAAGGTCCGTATTCGTATTGTTTTTGAATGAGACAAGGTCGTCGTATTGATCGCTTACAAACTGTATAGACTTTTCTCGGTCCTTCGCAACATGGCCGCCTTCAATCTGGTCAGTTTTATCGTTTATCTTCGACATTTCTTCAGTGATTTTATCTGGCTTCTTCTGTAATTCGCTAATATCATTTCGTAACTCTTCATTTTCTTTCCTTAGCCGTTTTGTAGCAGCCATTGAGATAAACAAACAATTTTTAACGGAGTGTAAAAATACACGTCCGTTATGCTTCACTAATTATTGTATACTAATAATCATAATATAATATAATATCAATAACATAATATCAGCACCTCGATATATACGGCATTTTTTACGTGTCCCAGGGCAAGCGAAAATGCAGATAGAGTCATAGGATATTTACTTGTACTAAATCTCCAAATGCACTAAATTCCCTGTCAGTTTAATTTACAGTCGTTAAAAATACAGAAATAGACCAACAGACACACATGCGTTGAAATTATGTGTTTATAGCTATAACTTACATAATTATTGTCAACAAATATTAACAATTCTAGGTTTGATTTCTTCTTTTCATCACTATTTTCACTTGAATGTCACTTTGCTCCCATGCAAATGTTCACTTTCTGAAGTTTCTGACTCTCCTTTGTATGAATTTGTACAAAGACATTGTTGAAATAGTAGTGAAATACAATAAAACCATTTGGTATGTTGAGTGAATGACGTCACATCCTCTTCAAAACTCCTTCCCGCTTAATTGGGCGTGTTTAATGGCGGCCGTAAAATTGGCAAATAAGAATCTCAAAAAAGTCAGGAAGATGAACGAATTTTGCCTTGAAATTTGGTAAGAATATCAAGCAATGTTATATTTCTGGATTATGGAAAAAAATTTTAATGATAGTGCCACTTCAATTATTTGTTGTCCAATATAGGGTTTGAATCTGTTATTTAAACACAGCATCATTCCAAATGCAGACAGCATTGCTTTGAAGTCAAAAGAATTAGCCAGCAGACATAACATAAAACGAAGCAATGGATGAATGACATCTGTATGAATTACAAAATGAAAAACTGCGCCACAAAGCCGAAAAAGGAAGTCACAAGTTTACTTTATCTGCCCACAATCCCTTCTGTTGAAGACTTTGCAGCATATATCCATGACCCAGTAGAAGGCACATGCATTCAGACACCTGAAGAACTCATAAGTCAATCCACTCTTGTTATTAATTTCCCAACATCAAGTAATATTCTATCAACTGTAGATACATCTACCCTTAATCTTTCCTCATATTACCAACCATCATGTGTAGCAAATCAGGTGTGTGAGAACCAGGGGCGGATCCACAATTTTTTGTACGTTAGTAAAAGTTTTCGGATATACAATCTAGTTTTGCGTGCGTCAAATGCGCGATGCACCTGGGGGGGGGGGGGGGGGGGGGGGGGGGGGGGGGAGGGGTCTGTCCCCCAGGAATTGTTTTATTTTTAACCATTCTGAGAGCAGCTTGAGTGTGCTGAGTGGTTACATTACTAGACATGTGAAGCAGCATGGAACATCAAAAAACAAAAAAATTCCTCTATAGATGTCACAGGTATATATTGACTGGTAAAGAACAACTTTGACCCACTATATTTGACATATTTTAATTTAGGCCAGTAAGGCCTGTATTTATTTATTTTTTGACTTTGTCTTTGGTATATATTAAGTAGTTCAATATATAGGCATGTTTCATTGAAAATTATCATGGACCTTTTCACTGCTTGTCCCTTGCATTCGTTTTTACTATAGTATATATGAAGTTTGGACACAATTATGTGTCAAGTTCTAAAAAACTTTACAATATTTCATTTAAAGGTTTATGAAAGGTCTTAAAAGTATGGTATCGGCCTGAAAGAGAAGAAGAAATATACAATTCAAGATGAGATCAGTACGCATTTTCTTGTACATGACATGCAATCAGATAATCAAAACAAAAGTGTGCATGCTGTTGCAACTTGCAACAACTTTAGTCCCAGCACTCCTTAGCTGATACGGACATGTTTAGTTGACCCTGGGAGATGATGATACATCAATTTCTTAAGAAAAATTATTTTCTTAAAATGAGAAAATTATTTCTCAAGAAAAATTACTTCTTGATTTAAGATAACTGTTTTCTTAAAATGATAAGTTATTTCCTCTAACTGCCATGCATGCTTTCTTAAAACCAGTGGCATAGCCAAGGGGGGTCGAGGGAGGGGGCGACCCCCCCCCCCCAATTGCCACAAAAACCATTCTCTCAAAAAGGCTAAATCCATAGAGAAATTTTTTTGTGGGGGGGGGTGGTACATGCTCGAAGCTGAAACTGATTAAGTATACATCTAGATTGAGGAAAAAACAAATATACTGGAGGAACTTGATTTGTAAAATCTTGTTAAAGCATTTGTAGTCTTCTAGATATGGTTCCAAGAAAAATAGATTTAGTTTAGATTTTTAACTAAAAAATACATGTATGCATTATCATAGCTTGAAATTTCTTCTCAGATTTATTTTGTATCGTATAAAAAAGCAACACAATTTTGAGAATGCTGAAATGGTGTCTCATAGAACCTAGAATGATTTAAATGCCACAATTCTGATCAAAATCACATTGGGATTTTCTCCTCCCAGCATCACAGAGGGGAAATAAGTTCACACTGATCACTCCTGTTTTTCAAGGTGACTTTTCCAATTTATTTAATTCCGAGTAGAAATGTCTGGGAAAATTCATGTCTTCGATGTAATTTATAATCTTCGGAATTCTGCTAGATTTCACCATAAAAATGCTTGAAATCGCATTTCAGGGACTCTAGATTTCAAAATTTTCCTGGGGCTGCACCCCCGAACACCAGTGGCTATGCCACTGCAGTTAAAACAAACCTTGTTTTTCAACATAACTCATAAAACGTTTTCTCTTGAAAATATATACATTAATTATGCTTTTCTTGATTGATGGAATGATTAATTTCCTCAATGTAAGATTATCTTAATTTCTCAAAATAAGGACGTTTTGTTGCAATTTTCTTGAATTAAGTACAAATTGCACCATGCACATGCATATTACGATTTTTAATTGTTTTTGTTTCTATATAATTTTTTATACACACAATAATTTCAACCAAGTAATAAAGCATATGAAATATTCTCTGAAGATATAAATAATATTTTTAACACTTGCTTTCCATTACAAAAGATACCTAGAAGAAAAATAAATCACTTAAAAAGTCCTTGGATGCATGACTAAAGGCATTTCTAATTCTGTTAAAAATAAACTCTATCGGAAATCTTTAAGAAGCCCATGTAAATCAAATGAAGAGATATATAAAAAATGCAAAAACAAACTAAATCATTTTATTAAAATAGCAAAAAATACTATTATGAAAATAAATTCATTAAACATAAATTTGACAGTAAGATGACTTGGAAAACTGAATGAAATTATAAACAAAAAAAATAAAAAAGATAAACTTCCAACATCATTTTTTGATAAAACTTTGAACAAAAATATAGATAATCCAAAGGAAATTGCAGACAAATTCAATGAGTATTTTATTAATGTTGGTCCTGAATTAGGGGAAACGACAAAACACGGACCCCAAGGTCCGTGGACCTGGTCCGTGGACTTCCTTCGTGGACCACTCTCGTGGACGGACCACTTGCGAGACACCAGAACTTGAATTCTTGACTGTGTATGCAAAAATGTGCTCGAGTCGAGTTCAGTCATTATTATCATTGTGGAAACTTTACACAAAATGTGAAGTTCTAAATCCATTCACTACGCATGACCGTTCTAAAATATAAGTGTGCAATTACGACTTTAATGCAAAGTTTCCGAATATATGCCCTTAAAATTGGTAGTTTTTTTCTCGATCGCTACAGGAAATGCAAGAAAAGCAGTAATCGAGCTTCAAAAATTAATATTTTTGGGAGAGGACCTTAGGCATTGAAAGGTCATTGCAACTTACGACTTCTACAGTTCAAGTAATTTTTTAACAGTAAAATTCGAATAATTCAGTAAAATCCTTTGACCACACACCCCCCTCTCCCCTCCAGATTCTCCACAGTATTCCTATATTTTTTAATGGAACCCTGACTACATTTTTTCAGCATTTTTACAGACTTAGTATTCACTGTTCATCAACAAAAACTGAATTGATTGTGAAATAAATAATGGAAATGAATAATGAAATAGTTCCCGCCAATCTCGGCTCCCTAAACTCGGAATAATAGTGCTTGGTCTATTGTTCGGTAGGCGAAATTTCGCAAGTGGTCCACGGGAGTGGTCTGTGGTCCACAAGTGTAGTCCATGGACCTGGGGTCCGCGTTTTGTCATTTCCCCTGAATTAGCAAACAAAATCCCTAATAACAACACAAAATCATTTAAATATTTAAAAGGAAACCATATTCATATTATGTTTCTAGAACCTGTAACTGAAATTGAAATAAAAAATGAATTAAACAGTCTTAAGGAAAATAAAAGTGCTGGATATGATGAACTCAATTCAAAAATAATAAAATCAAATTTGCAAACCACAAAGTCACATCTTCAATTTAACATTTATAACTGAAATTATTCCAAACCAATTAAAAATCGCACTAGTTACACAATTTTGAAGACAATAAATGAAAAGTCTCAATTTCAAAATTACAGACCCATTTCAATTCTAACCTGCTTTTCAAAATTACTGGGAAAAAATATGTATAAACGATTAATTAAATTCGTTGAAAAAAATACTATTTTATCAAAACATCAATTTGGCTTTAGAAAAAAGAGATCAACTGAACATGCAATTATTAACATCAGTGACAAAATTTCCAAAGCAATTGATGAGGGAAAATATACAATGGGTATAATTCTTGATCTATCAAAAGCTTTTGATACAGTAAACCATGAAATCCTCTTTAAAAAATTAGAACATTATGGTATAAGAGGAATATGCTTAAAATGGTTCGAAAATTATTTGAAAGAAAGAAAACAAATAGTCAAATTTAACCTTCATAGATCAAAAGTAATGACTATTACTACAGGTGTTCCTCCAGGATCAATTCTTGGTCCATTGCTTTTTCTTCTATATGTAAACAATATAGAAATTAACTGTAGTAATGTCCTTTGTTTTGTTTTGTTTTATTTGCAGATGACACAAATGTTTTTAATTCAAACTCCTGCTTAGAATCTTTAGGTAATACTATGCAAATAGAAATTAATAAACTAATACAATAGTTTAACATAAACAAACTAACAGTTAATGCTACCAAAACTAAAATTATTGTTTTTGCTCGCAGGGTAATCTTACTTTGCTTGCAGGGTAATCTTACTGAAGGGAAGAATGTAAAACTTGCAAAATTTATTAAATTTAAAATGTGTATAATATTGCTTTATACTGTAAGAATACAAATTGAAATAGTTGCCTGTGGAGGAGGCTAGTCTTGTGCCTTCTTTAACCCTTTGACGAGTAAAATCGTCTGGCGTTAGAGAGTAAAAGTATATTGCATTTGGGCACATTGCTGCTTAATGGGTTAATAATAATAATAATATGACTTTATTTAAACACAATGGTATTTAAAGCACAAGCCTAAATACTTCAAAAGTAAGGATGTCTATCATATTTTGATGTGAAAGTCATTGTCTTTAGACCGATAGAATAACAGCTAAAATCACCCAAACAATAGAACATGCAACACTGGCTAATTATTGTACCTTACTTGCATATAGAACACAAGTTGATTGTTTCAACATTGATACAGTATATTGAGCCCAAAGCAGGAGAAAAATAACAGCTTAAAATTCCTAGGATTTAAAACTTGTAAATCCATACACAGGACAATATATTTTGGTTTAGTTATTGCATCCCTGCTATCGAACATATTCTACACTAACTGTATATTGTACTATCTCTGTGAGTTCTCGACAGTTTAGTCCATACTTACTGTAACCATGCAGAAAGATAACCATAAAACTTTCTGTTTGAGTCAGTGGCGTAGTCCTGGAATGTTAACCAGGGGGGCTCTACAAAAGTATCTTGAATTGGCGGGGGAGGGTATTTACAATATAATCTTTTGGAAATTGGAAATTTTGTTCGTTTTTTCTAGTAATTGTGGGCGAAACATTCAAAATTATTCTTAATTATTAAAAACAATGTCTGAAAAGGGTATGGGATTCAAGGTTTCTGTACCACTTTTTGAGATGTAAAGCTGGTGGTGTACCTTCATATGAAAAATACATTCAGTGGTATGATTGGTTAGAAAAAAAAAATGCCACAAAAATAGACTCCCTGAATCTAACCAATCAAAATACCGAAATTTGCTCTTACATCCCTTCCTTCAAGCAATTTCGCCCAGTGGAAAAGCGGGATTCAGAAAATATGAAAATTTCTGGCTGGGACTTTGACTTCAGATTCCTGGTCTAAATTTCCATGTTGTTAACAGCCTAATATTTATAAACAATAACAAAGTTTTTTTAACACCAACTCATGTACATAAAATCAAAAAACCAGAAAACACTCATGCAAAAATGGTCTGCACAGAGTTTAAATCAGAGAAGCTGACAAGTTTTGCCTTCCTGCTTTTAGTATCTGTAGCGGATCGGTGCTTCAACAGCCAATTTGCTATGGCAGGCTGTGTGTTACATAAATGCGGGGGTCGACCATTTATACTAACAAACAAAAGTGATGACATGTTCATAACAGTAAGTTTGGAACGCGTTGGTGAACAAACAAGGTTCATTTGCGAGAACCCTCTTTCTGCTTCAGAGGAACTGATGGGAATCGTCTACAAAATGATTTGTATTAGTTTCTCGTTAATAATCTTGGGTGTTCTTTGAGGATCGTTGAAATATTCACGATAGGCTGGTATGATACCACATTCAGGCACATGAAACCTTTGACAAATAGCTGTTATTGCTTTTTCTCCTTCTGACCAAGGCGGACATTCCCCTGTAGGCCACTTATCTGGAATCAGTGCTTCCAATTGCTCACTGCCTCATTATTACGGTTGATCATCCTTGCATTGATGTTATTGATTAATTCCTGGATAAACTGCTTCCCGATCGAAGGACACATGCCCTTTTCTTGACGAGAAAGCTTCCAAGGAAACCCCTTTAAATCCAGCGTTATCTCCAGTTGTCAATTGGAATGTGTACTTTCCTTCCTGAATTGCTTCTTTAATTCGAAACAGTGCGTTTAATGTCCATTGCAGATGTCTATTTGCTTCAACTAAGCTTGTCTGTTGCCATTGTAAGGCTTCTGATAGCAAGGATAGTTGGACTAAACAGTCCTTAACAATTGCCACATCTTCAACAAATTCTCTTGTTGAGAGCTTCTTCACAATCCCCTGGTACTGTACGTTGCACAGGCAGTAGATTTAGTTGACCTGTCCTCTGAAAGTTTCTTAAAATGAGCATAAAGAGCCAGATAATCATTCCATAAAGATTTGATTGCTCTAAAGGATGATGCAATTCATCGAACAGTGAAAATTTTATCAATTTTTTTTAGCTGCAGATCAAGATCCATTGATATTTCACTAAGTTTGTGTTGTAACCTAGATGAATAAGAATATACAGAATAGATTTTGTCAAAAAAAAGTTTGTATAGTATAGAAGCCATCAAGTGACGATGCTGCATCAGAGATAGCCAAGCTCTAGGCGGTGATTCAAACAGTGCTACAGGATATACCATGCCTGAATTACACCAGATGTTGTTTCAAAAAATTCAAAGCACGGGTGCTCCTGTGCCTTGCTTGCTCAATGTTCAGGCTATAAAAATTGTGAAAAATACTATTCTAATATTCTCTATAACCAGTACTTGTGGTGTCATGGTCACCATGCCTTCAATATATACACAGCACATGCATATTGATAGATATGTGCCCGTGCTAGCGTGCCATTGTGCCTTCAATATATACACAGCACACGCATATTGACAGATATGTGCCCGTGCTAGCGTGCCATCGTGCCTTCAATATATACACATGCAGCACTCGCATATTGACAGATATGTGCCCGTGCTAGCGTGCCATCGTGCCTTCAATATATATACAGCACTCGCATATTGATAGATATGTGCCCGTGCTAGCGTGCCATCGTGCCTTCAATATATATACAGCACTCGCATATTGACAGATATGTGCCCGTGCTAGCGTGCCATCGTGCCTTCAATATATACATACAGCACTCGCATATTGATAGATATGTGCCCGTGCTAGCGTGCCATCGTGCCTTCAATAGATATGTGCCCGTGCTAGCGTGCCATCGTGCCTTCAATATATATACAGCACTCGCATATTGATAGATATGTGCCCGTGCTAGCGTGCCATCGTGCCTTCAATATATATACAGCACTCGCATATTGATAGATATGTGCCCGTGCTAGCGTGCCATCGTGCCTTCAATATATATACAGCACTCGCATATTGACAGATATGTGCCCGTGCTAGCGTGCCATCGTGCCTTCAATATATACATACAGCACTCGCATATTGATAGATATGTGCCCGTGCTAGCGTGCCATCGTGCCTTCAATATATATATACAGCACTCGCATATTGATAGATATGTGCCCGTGCTAGCGTGCCATCGTGCCTTCAATATATACACATGCAGCACTCGCATATTGACAGATATGTGCCTGTGCTAGCGTGCCATCATGCCTTCAATATATATACAGCACTCCAATATTGATAGATATGTGCCCGTGCTAACGTGCCATCGTGCCTTCAAATCTTCAATATATAGGTACAAGGTACATTTTATCATTTTGCTTTTAAAATATTGCAGATAAAAGCTAACGATAAATGCATCAGACATGTGTCTTACGACAAAATCGTAGGACCCGAAAATTTTCTATTGAGCCAATACTGTTTAAATTTTAAAAACTAGCTATACTGTATGTGTTCTCACGATACTAAGCACTACGTGTTGTTATGATTGCGTTTTGGGGGATTTTTTCTTGCGTGGTTCATACAAGGATGGTGCATGCGTGCACCCTACAAAGCATACTCCATCATTGTCACTGTATCAAATGTCACTGCACGACGTCGGAAACAGCGCACCTGGAAAAAGTGGATATGTGACACCGAATTTAGAACAATCACTTGTCTGTTTCTGGTGCGATAAAGCAACGTTATACTCACGTTCTCTGCTTGCGTTCATTATAAATACAACGAGTTGGAGTGTTTCAGCATTTAAGTGTTGGTTGACATCAGAGAAAATCAGTCGGGTAAGTTACCAAACGCGCTCCTTTTACATAAGGCTTTCAACAAATGCAAAATGTGTCACTTTAATATAATAACGAGACGGTGTTTTTCAACGCAGATACAATGGCTTCGTCGTTAATATCAGGTTCTCCCATCAAAGGATTGCCTGTCAGAGAGGACGACGGTGGAAAGCGCGCACTGCACACCAAAGTTGCGAAGGATCGCTATCGTTGTATTTCGAATTTTTACTTCGATCTAAAGGCATTTGTAAAGTTTCCTGCTGATCACAACAAGTACAATGGATTTATTGTTGTCGTCCATAGGATTGATGGTGTATCAATGTAAGTAGGGTGGACATACTTTCATTAAAACTTGTTTAGATGTAAATATTCACTGAGTTCGCTGTACACCTAAGACTAAGTTGTTTTTATAAGCTGGTTTCCACTATAATAAACAAGCGCAATTCTTTAATGTTCTTATGCTTGCGACGTAAGCGGTGTGCTTGAAATAACCACTCATTTGATTTTGTTTTTCGAACAAACGTTTCCACTTAAAAGTCTACTTTTACCCTAATGCTAATTATTACTCCCTGTATTTATTAGACGCGTGCATATTAACATGGTCGCCAACGCATGATGTCATCGTTTGCTAAATTGCAGTTGTTATTCTGACTAATTTTATAGTATGTGACTGAATTTTATAGATCTAAATAACTTGTAATATCTTAGAAATTCCTATCTCTAAAAATCGTTTCGTGTCCTTAGTTTAGTAAAGCTAAGCCATTATGCCCTAACGTTGTCCTCTACAGATACCCATGTGTGATGTGTCTGGCATTTAGGATTTTGGTTTTAGAAGAAGCTTCACGATTTCCGAGCTTATAGCGATGAAGTAAACTATGTTTTCGAGGGGGCCAAATTTCCGAAGGGGGGGGGGGCATATTTCCTAGGAGGAAATTTGGCCCGGGGGGACCAAAGTTTGGGGGGAGGCAATTTCCTGGGACACCGGCTAGCCGGGCTCATGTAAACAGCCCTTTAGTCTTAGACGAACGCACGTTCATTCTATTGCAGTCGTGGCAATAGAAGCGTTCATAAAATTGTTGGCTATTAGTAAAACCAAAAACACCGGAACACGGAACACCACGACTCCGGAACACGGAACACCAAACATTTCAGTTTAATTTGTAAAAATTATCAAGTAATATACTGGGGGTGGGGGTGTAATTATTGTTGGAACAATTATCGCGTAAATCCTGCCTTCATTCTGACTTGCCGATAGCTAGCTACTAATAACGAACAGAAATCAGTCTCAGCAGTGAACTTTACTCTTGTTGTTAGCCAGACATCCTCTTTAGCAAGACTCAAGCTTTTCCATTCGCCCACAATTTTACATAGCAAGGTTTTCCAATTACAGGTTTTTTTTAAGGTATTTTTCTTTGCTTTCCCTCTGTACGATTTTTTTTCTCTTTTGTCTTCTTTTGGGCGAATATTTTTTTCTTCTCCCCCCCCCATCACTTTTCTAATGGTCCCTAAGTATATTCTTTAGTTTTAATATATACTTAAATATACTATAAAATAAAGTTTATTAAGTATATTTTTTGTTCAATAACATGCGTATTGGTTGCAAATCTCTCGAAACTAATATAATATAAATGGTCGTTTATATTCGTGTGTGATTAGATAAAATATTATATTCGTGTCTTCCCAGGGAATGCTTTTTAACAATTGATGAGATGGAGAATGTTAAAAAGTTTAAAGGAGCTATCAACAGATCATTTAGCAGCAAAGGTGGAATCATGGCACATGGTATCAATGACAACCAGCTCTCCAGCTACATCATGGGCAAGATGCAAGAATTTGCATTAAGAGGTGGCAAGGAAATGGATGGAAGTTTGGTGATTGGGCGTCAACCAAATTTTCGGTCGGTCAACGCAAGAGGAGAGTTTTTGGATGATGACGACCCGACCGGACTTGCGCAAAAAGTTGACGATCCTGATACCGCGGTCTATATTCTAAATGATAGATTGCAAGTACCGAGGCATCCCCTCCCCCCTACCGAGGCGCAGTAATTTATTTGAACTTAGTTCAACCAGACCGAACATTCTTTCAACATTCATAGCAAAATTGGAAATATCGAGATCTTAAAGCCAGAATTTGTTCAAACAATAAAAAAATGCTTTCATTGTATAGATAAACAAGGATGGTGTTGTTCCCGAAAGTCATTGGCGGTATCGGTACATGGTTCCATTTTTGCGAAATATGCCGTCCGCAATAGCTGACAAGAAGGTGAAGAATTTTCTGCAGTGTCATGAAGTCCATGTGGATTTGCCCCTCCGATTTTTCGACTGGGAGCTATTCATAAGCAAAGCGAAAACGTTTTTTAATGTTAACTTCTTGCCATTTGCTATGTTCTTGAGTGGTGGATTGGCTACATTTCATTATAACAAAATCATTTCGTGCATAGGTAAGCTATATTTTGATAGTATTTCTCTATAAGACGACAGGTAAAATTAACATGTTTGTCTTAACGAACGTGTTGTTCGTAACATTATCGTTTTTTCGATGCAAAGGGGGATGTGATTGACCTGCACTGCGGAAAGATAGGGCCATTGATAACATTTATCAAACTTTTTAGGCGCATGTCCTGTTCCAACTGCCATTGGCCATCCCTCAAGTGGAAAATCAACTGCTCTGAAAATCATTTGCGAACTTGCGGGAATGCATATGATTTCCCAGTCCTCTGGTGAATTCGTAGTTTCTGGTTTGGTCAACACAACAATTCCATTGTGTTGGGACGATCCTGCTCTTCCTAGTATGGTCAGCCAACCTCTAGTTGCCGTGTTCAACGGTTTGGGGAGCCAAACGCAACAGCGTGGATGCGAGAAGCCACTAACATCGTTTCTTTTAACGGTTAATTTCAAACTTGATAGCGACATGAGGTAAGAATTCAATTACATTGGTCACTACCTACAGAGTCCATAGAATTTTATTCAAACATATTTCGAATGAAAATTCTGATAAAGTAAAATATTCCGATCAACATTTTGGCCACCTATTGTGATTTTTTTACTGTGTCTTCCTTGGTTATGACGCCACTTAATTCCTCCGGCCCATGGGGACAGACATGTTGTTAAAATATCCTCGTTTTTTGTATTTTGTTCCTTCGGTATAAGTATCTGCCTGACGCTCAGACAGAGAATTCAAATTTTGCACACGCTTTTCATTCCTCGTATATCAAGCATTGATTTCAACGCAAGTTCTTTACTCTTGAAAAGATATCGTAGAGGAAAAATGAAGTCGGTGATCTATTGTTTTTTTGTACAAAGTGAATGTTTATGACATTCTGAATTTTCTCAAAAATTTTTTTGGCAAATTGCCAGTGTAGTTTCTTCGCAACGAAATCATAAATTATAAAAAAAGATGACGGGTGGTGGGTGTAAATATCTCAAAACATAAGAAAGGTTACGTGATGAAAGTATGTAAAAGAATGTTTTCTTAACACTTGCGACGAAACGATTGCGACAGACAATTATCTCGTTCTGCAATCAAAATCTCGTGTACATAAAACGTACAGTATATGAATAAAATGTGTTAAAAACATGCCATGAATTATTTGCAGATCATTCGAAAGAACAACGCCAATTTTCTTCCAAAGGTTGAAAACAGAAGAGGGTGAGCAGGTAAAAGACTACTTGGATAGAAAGGCGGAACTTTTCTCCTTGGCGTCCACTCGTAGTTTACCAGTGATCATTGCCCTCAGTGAAAGATTGAACAAGAGAATCCTTGCACAACATATCCAATTCTTTCGTGATCGGCTACATGGTCTGCCGCCATGCCTTGGAGACATTTATTCTGTCTACAGGCTTATTCTGTTTGAGGTAATTCGGTATATTCGTGTTACTTGAGAGAGAGAATATCTATACAATAAGGCGTTTGTATTTAAGTAAAACCAAGTATTTTTTGTAGATTATAGAACTTGTTGATAATCCTAATGTGATTGACTGTCAAATGGTTGACGAGTTCCTTAAAGAAAACTTCCTTCCATATGTTCGTTCACTCTATGATGTTTTAACCGAAACTGAACTGGCCGATAGGTTTACAGCAAGTTGCTAAGGCCTAAGCCCTCTGAACTTTTGCAATTTTCGAATTCGAAAGACTTGAAATGCTCCATTATTTTATAGTTAAAAAGATGGTTAAGGCCAAGAATGACAGCAAAGAAAGACAAAGTGGACTCCATTGTTTTTATATTACCAAAAGCTGTCTCAACAATTAGAGAGAGTTGTCCTCAGTGCCCAACTGAAAGAAACGTTCGCAACCTGATCAAACAAGTCGGCGGAAACACTTCCTTTAAGTCGCTTTTTCATGGCATAGAGAAGAAAGTCAGTTGTGTCACTGTACCAAGAAATGCTGTGAATAAGGACATACTCAAAGAAATTGATCAATGTAAGTGGTCAAACATTATATCACGTATTGCTAGATCGCAGTAACCTTAATGCGGGGAGAGTACCGTACTTCAGAAATTAGTTTAATAATCTCAGTGGGTACATGTACTATCTTGTGATAACAAAGCATAAGGTCGTGGTCTATGACTATTTTTGAAGGAATGATTCAAAGAAATTTTTTCGTAAAGATGATTTAACATTTCCTTCATTTAGCTAGAATTGATTTTTTAAAATATATATTTTTTGCTAGGTTTCAATGAGAACGGCATGGACGAGACGGAGAAGGAAGACCAAGAAATGTCTTGCGAGGAATGTGAACATCTTCACGAGGAAATTGCCACGTGCAAAGAAACAGCCAGGAGAGAAATAGAAGAAGCAAGAATGTTGCACGAAGGAGAAATGGAAAGTCTGCGAAACAGGTTCTCAATCCAGCAAAAGGAGAAAGAGAATAAAATCGATAAGTTGGAAGAAGAAGTAAAGGCATTGAAGCGAAAGATGGAGGAGACCCAGGTTGAGGCTAAAAGATTCCAAAAAATGGTGGAAAATGCAGACGCTGACAAAAAGCAGACAAAGAAAAGTGCCGTAGTACATGCACTTAAGGAAATAGTAGGTATGACGATGAACATAGTAGTTTAAAAAAGTAGTTTAAAAACCGCAGCAAGATGAAAGTGAATTTCTACAACAGGTGGGGGCTAATACCTATATGGAGAGATTATCTTCGCACCAGCTATGAAATTCCTCGAACGTATTCCATGATCTCATAAATTTGCGCAAGTTTTTGTTTTGATATTGAAACTATTCACTAAATACACATTATTGCTACTCCATAGATGTACAGCCAGAGGCTGAACAACAAGTGAACGACCAATCTACGTCTGAACCTAACCTCGATGACTCAGGTAAGTTAAATGAGCATCGAGAATTTATATTTTTTTGGAAAAATCGTCATATATCTACGCGCATTCTCTAACACTATGAAATTCTGGCGTGAAACACGCATTCTCTAACACTATCCATCGATTCATCTACCTTGGGGCTGAATTGATGGGGCTGAATTCAATTCAGCCCTGTTGACCGGATTGAAATTTCAGCCTTGCCTTATTATAAAACCCTTTTTAAATCGAATGTGTGTTTACATGGCAAAAATTTCAGCTCAGGGCTGTGTTCAACCCAGGACTGAAATTTCAGCCCGGTATGAGCTACCCGAGTTAAAATGAAACGATTACATGGCAAAACTTTCAACCCCGGGTATAATTTTGACCCAGGGCTGAAATTTCAACTCGGGTAGCTCAAACCAGGCTGAAATTTCAGCCCTGGGCTGGCAATTTTGCCATGTAATCACCATTCGATTTAAAGAGGGTTTTATAATATTATTAGGCAGGGCTGAAATTTCAACCCGGTCAACAGGGCTGAATTCAGCTCCAGGATTGAAAAAGCTCCATGTAATCAGCCCCTTTATAAGACTAAATTAATTTGTTTTTCCTTAGGACTGGGAGAAAACGTGCAAGACATGACAGAAGGTTAGTCTGCATGAAAACTACAAGTGCATGTGTAGTCTGTCCGTATAAGCCAACTCTATACATCTAGCCTTTATCTCTTTGAACTCAACTAACGACTTAAATTTATAGTATATTTCTGGGAGTTCAGTATAGTTCAGGGCTTAATTCAATTCACATAATCTTTTGTTACAGATGAACATCGAAAAGAGCATGATATGCTGGCGACTCGACCCAATTCAGTAATTTGCACGTTATGCAGCAAGAAAAAGTCTGCAGGCATGATTGCTTGTGTAAAATGCAACCAACGGTTCCACTATAGCTGTTTGAAGATGAATCGTAAAGCTGCAAAAAAAGTCAAGTCCACCTTCCTTTGTAGTAAATGCGAATAAACAAAATAACATTGATTAATTTTAATATATAAGAATAAACAAGGAATACGATATTACGATTATACAGTACATGTACATGCAGTGATTATATTATTTAAATATTTCATGATGAATATGAATGTTTTACAATTCTGTTGACATAATAAGTATTCAGTACTATAGCAGCTTTTTCGCTTGAAAAAAGTATTAATTTTCCTTGGATTTTCCAATTTTGGGAAGAATTGGCACTTTCTTTAAGCGGTGGCATTTTTCTGTGTACCTATTCCGGTACTTAACCAACCTGCAATGACAAAAATAATTATTAAAGTGGGCTCATATATACTTGTAACACAAGGGCGGATTTTCATACTTTTCTCGGGGGGGGGTGTGCAAAAAATTCAGGGGGGGTGTGATGATCATGTGCAGGGGCGGATCCAGGGTTTCTGATGACCGGTTTACTAGGTTCACTCAACTAATAGGGGGTCTGGGGGCATGTGTCCCCCCCCAAAAAGAATTTAAAATTTGGGGCTCTGAAACAGCATTTCCTGCGTTCTGGCGTCACTTTTAAAATTAATTTAAAAAACTCATTAATAATTCATGAAGCAATTATCCAATCTTGAGTAAGAAATTAGTCACGTGCACACGTCTTTATACCAGCTAAAGAACACTTTAACAAAAGACCATTGTTATGCAAACTATATAAAGATTTTTATATAAAGATTTTTATATAAAGATTTGACTTATTATGCAAATGTTTTTGAAGCCATTTAAAAAACTCGCAGGTCGTGTTTTATTAGGTCTAAACCTAATAAAACACTCCTGCTCGTTTATTAAACAGTACTTCAGGATTAGAAAATGCATGTTTTAAGTTAATTTTTGACTAATACGCAGCTCAAACAATGAATTGAACAATTCTGATTCTCAATCGCCAAAGCAATGATCAATGGGTCTAAATACGCTCGGTAGTCCATATAAATCAAATTTCAATAATAGATTAGACAACATCAATTTTATGAAACAGAATATTCTTTAAAAATTATTAGTTATATACATGGAAGGTTATAGATTTTCTTTCTTTGGGAAAATCTGACAGTTTTATGTAAACCTGTCAAACCTGTCTGAATCCGCCCCTGATGTGAATGTGCGAGCGCGTGGTGCCGATGAGCACGTCAACTTAATTTTGTAAGTGTGTTTTACTTTTACGTTAATTTGCTGCAAAAAAAAAGTTGTTAATTTTTATATTTCTATCTTACTTAAAGGCCATGTAAAGTCCGTTCTGCGCAGGCTTACATTCCAATGGTCGGGACCCGACCGTTGAAATGTTATTTTAATAACAAATTAACGTAAAAATATTTCGTGTATTTTGTCTTTTTGAACTTTCTTGAATTGAATCTCTAGTCTGTATTCATTTTCAAGCATAGCGAACCAGAAGAGTGTTAAAAATTCAGTATAGTATATATCTAATCATATTTTACAACTGTAGCACTGAGTTCAAAATGTACACAAAGCGTTTGTTTACATTACTTTACATGGTCTTTAACGGTAGTTTGGCAGGGACAGGGGGTGCACATTTTTTTTTTTTTTTTTGGGGGGTGCACAATTTCTCGGGGGGGGGGGGGAAAAA